CGATAAACTGGAAATCCATGGTTTTGTAAGTATAGCACCATGTCTTGTATTCCGCGCTTGACTGTAGCTGCTTGATTGTTTGGAAGAGCTGTCGCAAACACCAGGTGAGTCATTTCTGGAGCTTCACAGTCACCATCCTTCATCACTGCGTCCCTGGAGGCTTCAAGCTCTTCTTCGGGACCCACCTCTTCGTCCGCAGCTTCTGATGGTTCATAACTTCCCATCTCCTCATCCTCAGGTCCATATTGCAAATGCGTTGCTTCGACGCCAACAACTTCCACTTGAGGACACTCGAGGGGTAGCTCAGTCCCAGACTCAGATTCACCAAATAACTCCTCCATGTCCTTCTTTTGCTCATCCGTTAGCGGTGGTAGTAGATCATGTTCGGGTACTTCTGCCACACTGGGGGTTGGTTGCCCAGAATAGTCCTCGATATATTGCTTTGGAACCAGGTACTTTCCCACGAGAAGATACTTGAGATTCTTTCCCAGGTTCCCTTTGATGTAGCGTCTAATCCTGGAGATAGAGGACCAGCAACATCTGCGGTTAACACATAGGCATCCGGATGTCGAATACGTCTGTGCTGTCTTCCAACTCCCTTGGACATCACACATGTCACGCAGTCCTTTCTATATATGGCATGATTTGTTCGAACATGCTCCTTCGATTGCTCTGGCGTCATAGCACACATCCGAGGTACACATCGAGGGTCATAATACCAGAAGCTAAATGCCACCACCACTGCGTGAACTAGTCCCGGTGCCCACACTGCTTCGTTGTCTGACGCTTCAGGTACTGCATCACCTTCTCCTACCCGAACGTCAGCCAGAGCCATTAAGTTGTTAACATTGGTTCCCAGTGTAGTAGGATTCCTGGACCTCCCACCCATAGCGCCTTGATCAAACGAGATAGTTTGTAAACCATTCTCCCGCTGAAATGACTTCCACATACGGGTGTCCCAGAAAACCACACGGCCATCCATTGTTGGGAGTCCTAGCTCTCGATCAAGTCTTGGACGTTGCACAGCTTCCCAGTAGTGTATGGTCTCATACCAACCCGCAACACCACCACGGCCTTCTGTAACTCTGGTTGCGTCCTCGTACTCATTGATCCTTGCAGCTTCTGCACCTCGAATCTCAGGAGATATCCCCTCCGGGTACTCGATCATGAAGCCTACCTCCCTGCTCTTTGCTGAAGGGGTTCCGTTCACCTCACGACCCACCTGAGCCATCGAGTATAACCACATCATACGCGCCACCAACGCTGTAGACTTATTGTCTCTTCGTCCACCCTTTCCCTTTTGAAGTGCACGCCCGGGTGGACCTCCAAAGATTGCATCGATCTTGCCCTCCTTGGCTCCCCATAGCAACATACGCCATGTCTCCGCTCGGAACAGATCGTGGCCCTGACACCGCTCGATGTCCAACTCGATCACAGCTGTATCACCTTGGTCCAACTTGAACATCTCATAATGTCCCTCCTTTCCAGCGAACAAGTGCACTATCCACCTTTTGGAGGTCAGCAGCTTCCTCTTCTGCGCTCTGTTCATGTAACCAAGGTTCTTCATGGTGTCCCAGCCAGACCAGAGTCCTGACGTTGGTATCATACCAGACAAGCACTCTCCTGGTAGGTCTGCGAAAAACGGTGCGTCTCTCACTGCTCGTAACCCCGACTCGAATGCACCCTTTGCAACATAGTCGAACAAATAGTACTCCCAGGTGTGCTCCATTGCCACGGCCGACACCTTCAACTTGTCCTGTGTGGTCAGAACAGAGTTGTGGAGCTCCTCAACTTTGCGATCTTCTAAACGGGCAATGAGTGCTAGCGCTTCCATTTCCGCTAACTGAGGACATCCACCATCCACTTGCAAGGGTATTCGGACTCCTTCAGGTGATTGTAGATAGCACTCCTTTGGACTCCACATCATCGTGTATCCCAGCGTTTCAATCAGCTGTCCCATTGGTACTATAGTCTGGGCTTGAGGACCTGGAAGATGCTGCTGATTGACCTGAACATCTCTGTAAGGCATCAGCAATGTACCCACATCTGAAATCCTCATAACCAGCTTGTAGTTTCCCGCTAGTTGTACCATCACCTCCGACGACTTGTCCCACTCCTCCTGGGACGCGGCTGATCGAAGGCTGTGGGTAGCTCCGCTATCCACCAGAGCTGTAGCTGACGAATCTGCCGAGCAAATCCGAATATCCCTCAGCTTCAACACCTTCAGCTGTGGCCTTGTTTTCTCCGGTGAGGTGTCACTTGCTTGGCCATCTGTAGCCGTTGGGTGAACTATCTGCTGCGCCGCCTGGATCAAGGTCTCCAACGTCCACGGCGTGCCCGGTATTGTGTCCCCTGCAGACGAAGGCGATGTTGACGACGCACCCACTGTAGCCATTGTACTTTGAGCTGATTGTTCCGTAGCAGCAGCTGGCGGCTTGTGAGGCGCATCGCGTGTCCCCTTAGGTTGCGCCCTTCCCACCTGACAGTCCTTTTGTCTGTGAGCTTCTGAACCGCATCTGAGACACTTTTTTGCCCTCACCTCCTTGTCCATTCCAGCCATGCTGTGTGAGTAATTAGGTGCACTTGTCTCCTCGCTTGCACCCCGATGGCTTAGCAAAATATCTGCACAACTCGACTCCTCCTGGGGGTCTCGCAGCATCCTTTGCCTTAGGCTGTAGCTGTGTGTCCACTGCCCGTAGTTTGGGAGCAGTCATTCCTGACCCAGTCTTGGCCGTAAGCATGGCCTCGATCTCCGCCTGCAAGTGCCTCTGATAAGCCATCACCTGGTCAGTTGACGGTCGAGCATCGAGTCGTAGTGTTGTTCTCAGCATAGAAGTTCTGAAGCATGCATCTGCCGACCCGTCAATGTGCTTGGAGGTAAGATTCAACAGCCCCCTTGCCAGGACTGATGGTCAGGCGCTGTCATCTGCATGGTTCTGCAGCGCTCCATCCAGCGAGGCCATGCTCGAAGCACCTTTAGCACACTTTCCAAGCCATCTCCTCCTGTGTAATCGCCGGGCGCCTGCAACTGCTTGAGTACTTCTTGTCGTTCTGCAGAGCCTCCTGGTTGAAAGTGCGTACACAACCTGTAAAGCATCTTAACACAATCTTGCGTGCACCTTCTTGACACCATATCTGCACGTAAATCCGTCGACATAGCCGAAAGCAGCATAGACGAGGCCCTTGCATTCACCCTGATCCACTTGCCTGTACACCACTGCTCAGCGCCTTGTGGCTCAATAGACAGCTTCTCCAATGGCGATGCGGCCAACCATCTAGAGTAAGTACTCTCCACTGCACCCAGAACACCTTGCCACCAGCTTGCACTTCCCTCACTGAGATCAGACATCACTGACCCCGAGATTTCCACCCAGTCTTGGAAGGTTATTGCTGCATCCATAGCTGGCGCACCTTCTGGTAGCGGAGCCAACATAGTCGATCCTGGCTTTACCAACTCAACACCTTGTGCAGTTGAAGCCTTGCTGAGCGCCTGTGCTTGTAGTTCTTGTAGCTGCTGAACACCTCTTGCTAAGACCTCTAGAACTGGAGACCCATCCGGATCCTTTTGCCCAGCTCTTCGTGGAGGTGTTGTACTTCTCGGCCTTGCATCCCACATCCTCCGTAGTAGACCCGACACCTCCCCTGCAGACTTACTGTCATCTTGCTGAGAAGCCTTCGGTGGTACAGATTGCTCTCCAGGAAGACCATGAATTCCACCCAGACCTTGATAATCTTGATCATCCCCATTACCACGACGAAGATAAAGAGGTGGTAGTGTAGCAGGTTCATGTAGACCCTCCTGTATTGTCTGCTCCGCACCGTCAGGTAGTGTGCCAGGATCCTCACTCGGTACTGGGTAGCCTTGAAGATGTCCCGGATCCAACTGTGCTCTTGTAAGATCACCTAATAGTCCCCGAGGTGGAGGTAGTAGCTCTTGCATGTTACCATTCCTCTCTTGCTCTGTCCTTAACCGAGCCCTAACTTCCAACAACTCTGCACTCAAGCGCTGATTTGCTTCACCATACTCCCTTAACTGTCCCAAAACTCCCTGTAGTTGTCGTTGCACCTCCGCTTGTATAGCCTCGGCCGGTATTGACGACGAAGTTGGTGGCGACGGAGCAGGTGGAATCGCTCTTGTGCGAGCTGGAGATCTCAACCGGAAGGAGGAACCCACCGGCGGCGGGCTTGGCATTGGACTGCTTCCTGGGAAAGGACTCGGTGCCAATTCCCCAGGTCTTGCACTCTGCTGAGTAGGTGCTTGTAGAAAACTTCCCAGCTTTAATACCCACTTTGGAACGTCTACGCCAGATAGCCAAGCAGGTTGCCCGACTCTACTTCCCATAGACGATTTCGGTGTCACATACCCATCTGGGGTTGCCACGGAGTCGCTCCTTCCCAAGCTGGATCGCCCGCCCGCATCAGGCATCGTCAGAACTCGCTCATTCGGTTCCGCCTGTGCCTGCGCAGATGCAGTCTCCACCACCTGGGGCGATTGCTCCTCTGATTGTACAGGTAGGTCCAAAAGCGCCACCCCACTAGGTCCCACTTCAGGTTCCTGCCCATCTGTAGTCTGCACGTTTCCAGATTTCGGTATGCTTCCATAGCTGACATCTGCTGCCCTTTCTGGTGCCAGATCATTTCGAGTTCCAACACCATTCGGCACAGCGGTCGCCGATGATTGGGCCATCATAACCTGTAAATGCTTGAAATCTCAAGCGCACACAGCACGTCTTATGCCAGCTCTGGATAGTCCATGTCTACCGGCGCGCGCTGATCACTCTTTTTCTTTCCCAAACACAAACTATCTGATTGTGACCAAAAACCTGTGCTTTGCTCAACCTGGTTGTACAAAGATGGGAGCTGCACTGGTAGTCCTATACATGGCACAAGGGTTTTTACGTAGCCATTCCCGTGAACCGTCGACGATCGGCATGCGTGTACTTTCACACTCCTCCTCAGTCCATGCGTCAGCCAGTGGACTGGTCGGCTCCCTTCCATCGATGGATAAGAGCAGAGATTCGCATGCGATCATTGATCTCGCAATATCGGAGAATATGTCTCCCTGACAAGTCCTTCACTCTCCAAAGCCATAGAACATACTTTAACTGCTTCACGGTGGGTCCCGTTTCACGACTCATCAGGCTTGACAGTCTGTGACCAAGTCGCCTTGCCTTGTCTTCCTTTAGTCCTGAAGTTGGAAACCCCTCTGTCAGCAGCCCTTCACGTAGACCTTCTCCCGTCATCAGCATACATACATCAACGCAAACACGTACCTGTTCGTCCACACCAGGTTCATAGTTGATTGGAGGTGACCATGTAGGAGATGACGCTTGTACTCTTGTGGCTTGGAACGGGCTTGGCGTTCTAGGCTCCCTTGGTGGTGTTTGGACCGGACTCGGTGCCCGGCCTCTCGTAGATCTTAGCTCTGACCTGGAACTCATAGCATCCTGTGTAGGTATGGGCGGTGTTGGCGGTCTTCTCCTTGGCATTGTTGTAGATGACTGACCTCGTACATCCCTCTCTGCATCACTGTTCATCGGTTGAGCCCTTCTGTTTGACTCCGACGAAGATGACTGCACATCACCACCATCAGGTTGTGTCTGCATGCGCTCCAACTCTCTTTCAATCGCCGCCGTCGTTGCAGCCTGTAGCTTCTTCAACCTTCGCAGCTTCCGTGCACTTGCACCTGGTGTCCACTCATTGCAAAGTTCTGCTAGAAACCACTTCACCGACTCATAGATCAGGAGAACACCCAGAACCATAAGCAATATCATCAGCAAACCTGCCGTATCCCAGTCCACCTGAACTCCGGACCCAGGGGGCCTGCTTGTACTGGAACTCCCTGTCTCAGATGCCTTTACTGTAGTCATCATCAAGCAGCACACCAGTGCCACCAGCATTCTCGCTGAGACCTTTGCCAACGAAGACTTAGAAACCATGTGCCTTGGCTCCTCCTCAATATTCCATAGCTGTAAGAGTGCCGCTGTCCTCGCTTGGCTAAGGGCCTTTGTTAGAAGATCTGCTGGTTGTCGAACACCTGGGCAGTGAACTGTTGTGAATAGACCATGTCGAATCTGCTCAAGGAGCCAGCTTGCCTTTATTTTAAGATGGCGTGTTCTCCAGGATGAGGATCCCGCAGTTATACTCAAGGCTGCTGTAGAATCGGACGCGATCTCCCGAGCCTCGATGAACTCCCCCACATCTGCTAGGATTGCTTCCACCCCTTTTAACGCTATTGCACCATCCACTATTGAAATCAGCTCTGATTCAGCTGTCGATAATGTGACCATCTGTTGACGGCCGCTGCGCCACACTATTGGCACTCCGCC